TCAAATTGACTATGGTTTGGATAGTTAAATATTGGATCTCGGTGCTTTTCTTCGTTTAATCACTAATTTTGTTGTGTTTTAAAATGCACTGCTAGACGGACATTAAATTCAAAGATACTTGCTAAATGGGAATATTTGGCGTTTTCCTTCCTTTATCACCAATTTAATATTTTTTTAAATACAATCCTAAACAGACATGAAATTCAACAATACTTCAATATGCCGAGATCTTGCTTCGTGACACAACCTCTCGTATGATGTAATTTATAGTAACGAAATCGGCTCTGGATAAAAGTAAAATAGATGGTTCAATTAGAATTTGATTATATTTTATCTTGGTAATTATATAATGGGTGTTCTCGTCACACCATAACTGATTTAATGTCTAGCTAGGGGATTAATGCACTGCGATTTCTACAATCAGGAATCGCAGATCTGCATTTTTCACTGTCATCCTATTGCTAAATAATGGATTTTAGAGTAAAACATCAAATAAAACGACAAACAAATCATTAAATGTTACCATTTACGTTGACATTTAAAAAAAAAATAATTTTCATGGATACTCATTACTGGATAGGAAAACCGCGCGTTAATGAAAAAAAATAAGTGGAAAAAATTAATATATAATTGAAAGAAAATATCATTAACAAATTTGACAGGAACAGTAAATGTTACATAACACCTAAAATACATAGAATATGTTTATTTTATGCTGCATAAAATGTCTGGCATTCTATTTTTTAAAAAGCTTCTTCTATCTACGCATGTAATAAAAAAAAATTCAATTATACTAGGCTAACTCAGTCGAGTTAATAGGGGCATTAGTGTTCTGTTCCTCTATTGATTTTAGTCCCCTACCGTTGAAACAGGAGGGTATTTTAAGCTTCATCCTCGTCTGTAAGTCTGTCTCACTTAGTTTTCCGCATTTTTTCTCAACGCTTAGAGATATTTAGCTGATTTTTAGTACTTAATGAGTAACACAGCAATTTTGAATTTCGTACGTTCCGGTTCCGTGTTTTTTGGCGGAGTTACTGCCTTTCTAAGGGGACAAGATTTCCCACTTTGTTTTCCGCATTTTTAAGTCACCCGAGTGACTTATTGCTATCCCTTTTTGTCTGTCGTCGTCCGTTAACATTTGAATATTTTCAAATTCTTCTCTGGAACTGCTAAACCAATTTCAACCTATTTTGGTATATAGCATCTATGGGTAAAGGGGAATAAAAATTAAGACTTTCATGGTCCCTGCCCCCCCCCCCCCCCCAAATTTCTACTTTTCTTAAGTATTGAGCATAGAGTTTACTTTGTGAAAAAGCACCCGAAATTCGTAGTTTGAATAATATCCAGATAAAAAGAAGTTTATGAACACGTTTTTCTTATTTTCCAGTGAAATGCTCTGTTAAATCATGATATTATACAGAAAAATTGAGAAATTATGAACTTCAAATCTGGGTCCAGGCCTCTTTAATTATTTCATTGATCCCGATAATCCTATTTCTCCTATTAGGCAACAAAGCTTCACCTATTACTTTATTTTATATTCTATGGATCATTAAATTGTTGTATTTTATTCAGGCGGCCGTTGAGGCCCTTGGGCCTCTTGTTGTGATCGTCTTCGGCCGATCACAGTTGATTCCATATGAGGCATCCGGCAAATTTAACTGTGCACACATAACGCCCTGCACTACTTTGTTAACTATGTATACAGATAGCTTCGGGTAAATCTTTCATAATATTTTACGTGATAACGAGCATTATTTTAATGCATTTACCTTGAGATGGAAACGTATATTTACATGGTGAATAAACTTGCACTTTTCTTTACATACGTTAGAATTTCATTCGGAAGTACACTTCCCTTTAGCATTGGTTCTCTGCCCCTGTTTCCAGTCCCTGCCGCTTGGAATAGGTTTTTCAGGGCGCCTACGCCCTTTACCCAATGTCAGGGAACCAGTCACACTTCCCGTAAGGGTGAAGTTTCTTTTGGAAAGCAAAAAAAAAATATTCAAGTCAAATCGAATTAAGAAAGTGCTACTTACCCTTTTTTCGTTATTAAGAAATTTCAAACCCTACGGATTTCAGTTTAGATGTATTTTGAATTTTACCGTTATGATGATTTAAAAAAAAAATGCTTGACACATCATATAGCCATAACATAACAAAACATGAAAATCACATTGCCTCCAAATACCTACGATGATGCTATCTCTAATTATAGAATATATCGATTGCTATAATTCGTTCAGCAAATTATGTACAAGGTCTTTTAAACTTGTTTCTTTGATCGAACTTTGCTAGGGATATTACTGAACATAATAACTAATCATTATAATAAGAAGAAAAATCTGTTACAAAATTAACTATGTGTGGAACTGAGCAGATTGCATGCATGTACGTGTACTTCAGTTTTATTTCAGTGCAACTTTAACTTAGAACTCTCTAAAACAAATGATTTAATTTATCTGCAGAGTTTTTTTTCCTTTTTTTTAACAAAGGTTAGCCCATTTGATTTTAGTCTTCCCTTTAAAAAATGTCAACAATTGTACATTTTTCCAGTTACAGATATAATTTTTAAAGGCAACATAATGTGGCAATATTACTCTTTATAACAACCATTCCTGGTTAAATTTGTTCTTCTATTTAAATTAAGTATGTTAATAAAAGCATTCTAATAAGGTTATCCTTTACACGTCACACTCGGTTGAAAAATAATGTGAAATTAAATACATGTATATGTATATACAAAAAATTAATTTAAGTCAATTAAAAAAAGACATTTTTGCTGACTTAAAGACTCACTGCCAATCATTGCCTGACGCCACGTGCGTCAGGCAGTATAAGGATTAATTTTTCAGGGATCCGAAACTAAGCGATCATTCTTAATGAACTAGATTTCGTGCAAGCTGATTTACATCGGAATTTGTTACCTGCATTTAAACAAATACAGTTTGCAGAAGAAAGAATCATATGACTGATGCAAAATAATGATGTGTTTAATTCCTTCAGTTCTTTTGCATGCACATGTTTATTCTTTGCGATTCTTTGTACGGACATGTCCGTGTAACATTTTTTCTGCGTTTCTAAACTACTGGATCAGTCCATTTGCCTTCTACGAAAGGGGTGACACAGTGATTTCGCGCCAAATGTCACATGTAAATTATCTTCGCGCCTTTTTCTTGGGTTGTTCTATTGAATGGGTGTGATAACTTCTATGGAAATAAAGTTTATTCTTTTAACATAATTCTTAAGCTCCAAATTTTTTATTAACAGTAAATTTTATCTCATTTTAGAAGAGAACACATTGTACATGGACAGGCAACACTAATTTTAAAGCAATGGATTTGCTGATTCTTCTTACTATTTGTCCCATAAGTGGACTAGTCTAATCATAAACAAACTCCCTCCACCTAGTAAATTGGACACCGCTTCTTTATTCAGTCTGTTTTCCACCTAGCCTTTCTTTCAATATTACATTTATTAATAATGTACGTTACAAGATTAGTTTAAAAAAAAAAAGCTTAGAAAGTCAGCGAGTAGCCGACATTATTTCATGCTTTGTGATGAACAAGGGTTTCCTTTGAATACAGTGACAAGAGTGTAGGTCAGTACCCGTAGAGGAATGGGCTTCACTCCCGTCAAGTTCTAAGTAAAGAATCGGCAAAATGAAGAAGACATCATGATCTGTACTGGTTTTCATTTCATAAAAAAGCACGTTATTATAAATATGAGAAAGGTCCTGAAATCGATTGAAATGAAAAACTAAACAATTTGAAAACTGTATATAAAGATGTATTTTAAACTCATTTATAATACATGTATATGTATATAGTAAGACCATCATCGCGTGAGTTTTGTGGTGTTTTTCATTCTTGTTTTGCGCTAGCTATAAAATGTACAGGCCATTTACTTTGACTTCTAGAGCAGCATTGAAGCATTTTTGTCTCAAACACTTCAAGACAACTTTCCCAGTTAAAACTGTTTATAATTTACTTCGTCGTCGAGAACGACGGAAAACAGACCAGTCTATAAATAGAGGTCGTCTCATCAATCTATCACTGACCAGGGAGTGTGCATGAAGAAGTGCGTCCTCTAGTAAGAGTACATGTAATATGAATTTCTTTAAAACGAATCATCTAACTATTTTTTCCAGAATTATCAGTGGCGGATCCAGGAATTTCATAAGGGCGCAGTAGAAGGCAGGGGGTCTGGGGGGCTGTATTGAAACCCCAGTGGGTCCAGGGCAAAGCCCTGATGGGGGTTCGGGGGCGAAGCCCCCGGAAGCTGACGAATTCTTACAAATAAGGTGTTTTTTCCTTGATTTTAGGATAATAAAAATATAAGTTCTACATACAAAAAATTCAAACGGGGGGGGGGGGGGGGTAGGCCCGGCGCGCCGGTGCTGGATCCGCCTTTTAATTATAATCTACGCTAGCGCACTTGCAGTTTCATCCAAACATAACTAGTCAGCCCGTGGGCTAACTAATAAATGACCAAATAGTGAAATGTCTTAGATATTCGTTAATCTGTAGTATTTGATTATGACATTTGAGAAAGTCATTTGTACATCTTGTGTAATGAAGTATCGCAACTATGTCGCTCCTTGATGACGGAAACGTTTAGCACCTCTCTTGCATATACGTTCCATAGATATTGATTGATTAGTCAGGCAAGCTTTTTGAAAAGCTATTACTTGTTCCTTTAAAAGGAATACTTGTTTTCCTAAACGTTTGCAGATATTGAGTTGATTTTTGAAATATGAGTCTGCCTTAAGGAGTTAAGTCAAGTTTGCATTTGTTCCGTTTCAATAATCATTGTCTGAATTATTGCCATTTCAATTTTTAAGGGGAACCAGATTACATTTGCCGGTAGGGGACTAGTTTTGCTTATGCAATACCCGCAGAATGCTTAGTTAAAATTGGGAAAGAGTATAAGTGTATTTCTTCTTTCCATTTTCTTTATCATCTGGCGGTTGGTCTAAAATAGTAATTTGTCTATTATAGGGTATCTTTAACCGCATCCTGTCCAATGAGACTTCATAAATATCCCATGGACACCCAAACATGCTCCCTTTACATACAAAGTTGTAAGTATAATTCTATGAAGTGTGTATATTAACGAAATTCAGGAATGGGTGTTTCTTGTTCAGTGAAAATACTCTTGGTCTGTGTAGTTGCATACACAAGGAAAAGAATTGAATTTCGGTGGAAGTCCGATGGGCCCGTAATCACTAGCAGTGCAGTGGAGCTGCCTCAATTTACTCTTGTAAACATTATAACGAACAACACTTGTGACAAAACTAACGGTAAATCTTCCTCTTTTTGCTTCTTATGAATATGCAAATTTTTACGAGGTAATTATGAATAATCGTTTTTTTTTTTAAATCCAACAGGAAAGAAGTCGATGTAAGAAAGACTATGTACAGTATGTTTTCTGAATATTTTCAGTTGATAGCGATTTCACCTGCATTCAGGTTGATTTCAACCTAAATCGAAACATTGGGTTCTACATGATCCAGATCTATATCCCAACCATAATGATCGTGCTGTTATCCTGGGTTTCCTTCTGGCTCAGTATTGACGCTGTTCCCGCGCGCATCTCTCTGGGCATCCTTACAGTTCTCACCATGACAACACAGAAAGGCTCTGCCATTTCCTCCCTACCCAGGGTATCCTATGTGAAAGCAATCGACGTTTGGATGGCAACGTGTCTGGCGTTCGTGTTTGCTGCGCTTTTAGAGTTTGCCTTTGTAAATGTGATGCAAAGAAGACGCCAGAAGTTTGGGTCCTTAAATGATTCTGAAATAGATAGTAAAATGGTGAGCTATACACTATAATTCGAGTTAAAATTGTGAAGTAAGATTTGTTATTTTCTAATCATGTTGCTAAAAACCTGTACACAATTTATTTTACAGAATTCAAACAGACGATTAAACAACGGGAAAAGAGCAGCAAAAAGTGTTGACAATATTTCAAGGGTCGTATTCCCCATCGTATTTTTTGCTTTTTGTGTGATTTATACTTTTGTTTATATGATTTAATGTTTATAACTAATATAACAGTTATACATGTGGTAAAATGTTTTCAATTAGTAAAATTTTGAGTTTTTAATGAAGTTCTGTAATTTGTTCATGTAGTACATGTTTCACACCTCGAACGAAGGTTTTGTTTGTTTGTTTATTGTGAATTTTTCACTCATATGGAGACGCCACCACTTGCCGGTGAAGAGTTGCAAATTTTGACCTATACTCGGCACTCAGGGCCATTGAGCAGCGAGGGATCTTTTTCGTGCCAGCACCTACTGCGACACGGGACCTCGGTTTATACGGTCTCATCCGAAAGACCGGTCTCCACGTCCCACAGTGGGATTCGAACCCGCGACGTAAAGATCAACTCATTACTCCGCGACTCTAGAGCGAACGCTCTAACCACTGCGCCACGCGGGCGACTCCTCGAACGAAGAGTTTTTGCTGCTACCAAATAACTTGGTTCACTCCAAGCCCAAGCTTCTTGGTTGAGTGACTTTGCCATTGTGTGCATAATTCTTAAACCTATCATTAACAATTATAAATTATAATTATGGACACAGCGCAAGGTCACTGAAACATTGAATGTTGGGGCCTGCGGTGCGGAAGTCAGTTAAATCTACAGAATTACACATATTGTAGTAAAGAAAAAAGATCTCTTTCTATTCCACTCTCTCTTCTTTCTGACTTAATAATAACTTTAACCAAAAGTAAATCAGAAATTAAAGAAAGGTTTTGTTAATTGAATATTTAGAATTTACGCTGTGTCACTGATACTTCAGCCAGAATTATATCCCATCGAAAAGTGCAAACAGATAAAAGTTTACTCACCATCTTGTCTTCGATTCCAAGAAAAATGGGTAGCAACTGTTCCTTCGCCATGCGCTCGGCACTTTGAAGTGAAAGTTGCGGGTCCTTCGGATGAGACCTTAAAAATCAAGGCCCCGTGTCACGGTAGGCGTTAGCACGATAAAGATCCCTCACTGCTCAATGGCCTTAGTGCCGAGTAAAGGTCAAAATTTGAAACCCTTCGCCGGTACATGGTGACGTCTCTATATGAGTGAAAAATTCTCGAATGGGACGTAAAAACAACAATCAATCGATTCCAAGAGGACATGGGAACAAGTCAAAATATTTCAAATAGACAGTCCTTTATTGCTGAAGTAGTGTGTAAACTTTCCTGTTACTGTTATAAACTGAGACAATCCACACATATACAGATTTATTTATTGGTTGCATTTTCTGTGGAATTCTTTGCTTTTCTGGAGTTATATGACCATTGTACATTCAAAAACAAATCTTTACTTATTAAACCGTTTCTTGTAGAAATTAATAATAACTGCAAGATGGTATAGGGTTGGATTCTTATTTATTCCGTGGAGATAGTTGCATGATTTCAAACTGTTGAGTTTATAGATGAAATAAATGTTTTAATCAACCCTAAAACAACAATAACAACATATAAATACATAGACAACATATAAAAAGGCACATTCACTTTACAACACAAAACGATCACAATTTAATTGCATAAAACATTCATTTAGGCCATTACTTTACACTTCATACAAACGCATTCAAAGGGCGATAACTCTTTGAAACTCTTACTGAATTAATGATATAAATCATATTTCTCTATACTGAAATATTTACAATACTTTAAAAATATGAGTTTAACATACCAGTGTATGGAACTGAGTGAATACACTGTATACTCTCAATCAGGATGACTTTAAGATTATTACATGATGACCTAATAGATTAATAAATTATAAAATCATAATAATTCAAACCCAGATCTCAATTCCAAAGATCTACATGAATTAGATTAAAACATAACTTGCTCCTTCTTTACAATATCAGTCTTATTTTTTAATATTAAACTTTAAAACTTTCACTCTAGCACATTCATACTCATTTAGCAAGTTTAAATTTAAAATACTTTATTTTCATTCATTATCTTTAATTTTAGTTTACGATCATTAGATGTGTTTTATAAAAGGATTACTTGCAGTTTATGGGTGTTTAATATACTCCAAAATATCAAATTTAAATACTCAGACACAGAACTCACTACACCCCTCTCAAACAGTAACTCTGAATGCAATAATAAAACAAAGGGTTTCCCGCCTGAATGGACATCTCTGACCAAACAATGCCAATCCACCAATAGAATGTATGAAAACGGATAATACCCTTATTTATAAATAAACTAATCCATATATCTTCCTTAACCAATAGTCTTTGTGTTAAACCATTATTTAAATAGGGATGTTTATGATTTTAAACATATAAATAAATAACAATATTAGTAATGCAGGCGCAGCGCTTGTATAAATGTATGGATGAATGAATGAATGAAATTCCTGAAATAAAATGTATAGCATTAATTAAATACAATAAAACTAAGTACAACTACCACACTTATGTCCACAAGAAACCTAAGCTCCTGACTCAAATCCATTTAAAAAGGCAGGACTATATTCATTTTTTTTCTTAACTCAGATTTTAATATGCAGAAATGAACCTACCCACTGTGGCCGTTTCCTGACTTATTGCAGACAGGAAGATGTACTCCTGAGGGATACAATTAGCACATCTGGGCCTGTACAAATGGCACCAGTCTGAATTAGATCATCATTATCTTGATTAAAAACAAGAAAACACTAATAGTTTTCATAGAAATAGATAGACACATTTGCTCACATATTTAAAAGGAGAGGATAGTGATTCACCTTCTTATTTACTTCTTAATGGGTACGCCTCAATGTTATAGAAACCAGAAGTCTCTGATGAGACTGTAGCTCTACTGGTCTGTACATATAACAAAGGAAAAGTAGCACTTGGATTTGATTGATTGATTGATTGTATATTGTTTTACGTCCCATTCGAGAATTTTTCACTCATATAGAGACGTCACCATATACCGGTGAAGGGCTTCAAATTTTGACCTTTACTCGGCACTCAGGGCCATTGAGCAGTGAGGGATCTTTATCGTGCCAACGCCTGCCGTGACACGGGGCCTCGGTTTTTAAGGTCTCATCCGAAGGACCCGCAACTTTCACTTCAAAGTGCCGAGCGCATGGCGAAGGAACAGTTGCTACCTATTTTTTATCGACTTAGGTCTGTCGCGGCCGAGATTCGAACTCACGACCTCCCGATCACGGAGCGAGCGCTCTACCGACTGAGCTACCGTGAACGGTCACTTGGATTTGAAACTTTGCAACATGCAGCAATAAATAGAATAATGTATCTTAATGTAGTCTACTTGTGCGCCAAGTTATATTGAAATCAGACTAAAACTGAAGGAGGAGTAGCCCTTTAAAGAAATTTCACAGAAATTTCTATTTTTAATAACCATGGCAACACCATTCATCGAAATCAAAAACCGATGCACTTAATTATGCATCTTAGTGTAGTCTACTTGTTTGCCAAGAAAAATGAAAGTAATGTAAAAAATTAAAACTCATGATTTCTGATTCATTGAAATTACACGCAGAAAGATCATACAAATCATTTTTCTCACATGACCTTCTAAATGCTAATTGTGACGTCATAAACTTGTGCATTTTCCCGTATTTTCTTGAAAAGTTGCAGAAGACACCAATTTTCAATGGAATTTTCTCTCAGATGATATTGTCCACAGGCATCGCCCACAAAGATTTTGAGATATGTAATTTTTCAAAGAATTTCACAGAACATATCTGAAAATAAACGTGGGCGACGGCTGTGGACACTATTTTCTTAAGGAAAATAACCCTTGAAATGGGTCATTTTGAGGCTTTTTCTGTTTAAAATAGAGAAATGCATCAAATTAATGACGTCATATTTCCAGAATGGTACTCTTTCATGCTATATTTTTTCCTGATTTATCACTGTCATATACTCAACAAATGTTTAAGCCAGTTTCAAAACTTTTTGAAAGTATCAAATTTTTAGGGCACAATAAAGCTAAAACCGTACCTTCTTCTTTCTATTTTTAGTAACCATGGCAATACCGTTCATCGAAATCAAAAACCGATGCACTAAAGTATGCATCTTAGTGTAGTCTACTTATGTGCAAAGTTATATTGAAATCAGACCAAAACTGTAGGAGGAGTAGCATTTTAAAGGAATTTCACAGAAATTTCTATTTTTAGTAACCATGGCAACACCGTTCATCGAAATCAAAAACCGATGCACTAAAGTATGTACATGTATCTTAGTGTAGTCTACTTGTGTGCTGGTCTCTGACCAGTAGAGCTAAAAATGGCAGTGATTATGTTTTGCTATCGGAACCCCGAAATATGTGTACGATCAAAAAGTAAAATTCAGTGGTATAAGAGGATGTGCAAATAGCGATGGATATCCCAAAGCGTAACGGACTTAGAGGCAGAAATACACTCTGACTTGTCCTTAATCCTTAATATGAATGTATATCTGGGAGCTGATAAAAAGCACGATTTCAAACATAATTTATACATAAATCAGTTAATCAAAATATATTCGTACTTATGAAGGACAGATAACGACAAGGAATATTTAGAAACATGCCCTCGTGCGGCAATATTGAAAAGGAACAAGTTCTAGGTATAGAATTCTACAAATTAATACAAATGATTTGAGAATTGACCTTCTTGTGACTTGAAAACCAATGGGGGTCATATAGCCTTTATGGGGTACCAAGTTTGTTAAAAAGCACTTTGATTGTACACACAAGTACTCTGAAGATGATATTAAAAAGACGCTTGAGTTTCTGATTGACAATATCTATGTAGTTTTTGGAGATCAGGTCTTCCAACAATCTGTTGGAATTACCATGGGTACCAATTGCGCCCCCTTATTAGCAGACCTATTTTTGTATTCATATGAAGCAAAATTTATTCAAAAACTTCTACATGAGAAGAAGAAAACACTTGCTATGGCCTTTTACTCGACATTTAGATATATCGACGACGTATTATCAATTAACAATGGTTACTTCATTCATATGTCGACTCGATGTATCCCAGTGAGCTTGAAATAAAAGATACCACAGGTTTTGACACATCTGTTTCATATTTAAATATTTTACTAGAAAAAGACGTTAATGGTAACCTAACAACAAAGCTTTATGATAAACGTGATGACTTCAACTTTTCAATCGTCGACTTCCCTTACTTATGTAGCAATAATCCCTTATCACCTGCATATGGAGTTTATGTTTCTTAATTGATTCGATACGCAAGACCATGTTCTACGTATGAACAATTTCTAAAACGAGGCAAGCTATTGAAAACAAGTTGACGAAACAAGGATATCAACAGTCTCGTTTGAAGTCATCTTTTCGCAAGTTTTTCGGTCGATACAATGACCTTGTCAGCACATGCAACCTATCATTGAGTTAAATGCTGACTGATGTTTTTCTTACTAATTGTTAGGCCATTATTTATACACTGAACTGTCTACGGATTTCTCCGGTTTTTGTTTCCTGATCATGACAAGGAGCACAAGGCGGGTTTGACCGGTCGGCAGGGGATGCTCACTCCTCCATGGCACCTGATCCCACCTCTAAATTTTGATGTCCGTGTTTGCTCTGATCCAAATTTGTATCGTTTCATTGGACTTTCGAGATTGAATACTGTTCGTTATCTTCATATTTCATCTTTCAGGCAGTTTACATAATATTTAGCGGAGAGTATTTGTTTACGTCAAGAGTAGTTGGACCTTGTGACCTTGATATCAATAGGGTCAGCTACTTCTTAGAGGGTACCTGTGTACCATATTGGATGTCTCTCGAGCCAAAAAATGTAAAGATATTCAGTGAAGAATGAATTCCTTATTTCTAGGGTATTTTGACCCTTGAAATTGGACCAAGGTACCTAATAGGGATCATTTACTTCTTGAAGGGTACCAAGTTTGATGTTTCTCAAGCAAAGGGATCTCAAAAAATAGAGAGGTCGGTTTCTTCTTATGTCCATAAAAGTGTTACTCTTAAAATTTGTACCCTAATAATTTATTTTACTTTCAGTGGGTTCCGGAGTACTTTGATCTTGTGACTTCAAAACAAACGGGATAATTTACTTTTTAGGGTGAACCAGAGTATCAAGTTTGATGTCTGTCAAACAAAGATTATTGTGTAAAGACAAATAATGCACCCCAGTAAAGAAAAGCCCCCACACTCCAAATCGTAGAAAAAGTAACTTCTGGTAGAAAAGGGACAATTGGGATCAGTTTCCAACATGTGCACGCTTTAAGAATTCAACCTCGTTAAAAATGCCCCAACCCAAACAGAATGATATAATATTTAAAAGAGGTGATTGATGCAACTCTTGGAGACCGGTCCTTTCGATAAGACCTTATAAACCGAGGTCCCATGTCGCAGTAAGTGCTGGCAAGAAAAGGTCCCTCACTGCTCAGTGCCAGTATAGATATAAAGAACCAAGCACACTAGCTCTCGATTCCCGCCTACATTTTGCACCAATTAAATGGCATTAAAACTTGATTGAATGCAAAGAGAGTACATTATTGATTAATTAATAATTTTAAAACCAGTGTCAAAAAATTGATTGCTCTCATTTACGACTCTTTTTAAAAGAGAGGTTGAAATTTTTATCTACTGAAATCAGGCTTTAAAATCGCTAGATTTTCAAAAACGCGTGGAAATGGATAAAATAAATTCAACATAAGAGATTTATAAAAGACCTTCTTTTATTTGAAATCTCAACTGAAATTGGTATTAAAATGACTAATTTTGCAGTTTTTTGGTCTGTAAACATCCCCTCCCCCCGTGAAACAACAAAAACTTTGGTAGGAATTTGTGAAATAAGAATTCATAAAACCCTTAAAAAGGATTTTTGTTTCACGGGTGGAAAGATGTTTTAAAAATATTTTCCATTGATTTCTATAGTGAAATATTTTCCGTTGATTTCTATAGTGAAAAACGCTATTTCTACCAAAAATAAAGAGTTATCCCTCTTTGTTTTCCCAAATAAGTTATGTTTTACGAAAATTCACATAATATTTATATGAATATGAAAAATCATTCAAATATGTTAACTTTTGAAATTTGACTTGGAGGTAGGCAGCAGAAAAATACTATCGTTCGCAGTTCTTAGCAGCCCTCAACCGGAAATGGTGGTGTCTCCAAATGAGTGAAAAATTCTCGAGAGGGACGTTAAACAACAAACAAACAAACAATTGTTTGGTAAGTGCAATGTATACTATATTATTAATAAAATATGAAGTTTACAAGATTTTTTATTTATAAAATTTGTTCGAGTTTAAATATTTAAAACCACGTGTTTTATATTCGTTTTCTTGTGAGTTTGTCTAAATGCTGTTTTATGATTGGAAAAAAGAATTTTACTTTATTTATAGTAATTTACGGCAATCGACCCTGACTTCCATGAACGGAAATCGCCCAGACCTGTTGAACGAACTCTTGGTTTAATGACTGAAAATGCAAATCAGTATTCCCACTTTTTCAAGGGGGAATAATCCTTTCTTACGTCAGAAGAGGAGCTAATTGCGCAAAAGTGCTGTTAGATTGAGTTACAACAAGCGTTTTAAAAATATATATTGCAAGGTGGATAAACTTATCAAATCAAGGATCTGATAATTCCGTATTTTCTTTGACAATTATTTTAGCATGAAATCTTTGCGTCTTTCATTTCACTACGGGTTCACTGACGTCTCTTAGATTATCATATCTGTCTTACCTTAGCACAGGTGTCATTCTCTCAGAACTCAAATCGCTGAAGAACACGGAACTATGTGGTTGTTAGTACTGATTTTAGGTTACATTTCTGTTAGTGAGGCAATTGTATGTACTCCACAGCTATGTGAAAATATTAAAATCGCTCCTCTGCAATGCAAAGGGTCGATAATCAAAGGGGGAGGATTCTGTGGATGTACCGACGCCTGTGCCAAGGTATGACACATAGCCTTATCATTTTATTCAAATAAATAATTTAATTCTGTTTGTAATAAACCTTTTCATTAGATAGAAAAATTAGTTTGTGTCGTTCAACCTGGTTGCCTACGTCACAATGTGACTTGGGTCCAAAAGTTACCAATCAGCTTGACGTAACATTTAAATTTAGCTTAATCTGGGACATTTTTTGAAGGGAAATTGTCAATTTTTTTACACTGAATGATAGAAAATGAAATTGCATGCAATAGATTTTGTAGTTGCTTCTACTCTTATATTCATAACCTGTGTTGGAAGGGATTACCTTTTCTAATACATAAACGTAAACTGCTCCAACCCAGGTAAAACTTGGGTGTAGCTATCGAATTTGATCATTCTTTAAATATCAGGTAATACTGACACAAGAGGAGTCTAGCTAATTATTTTTTTACTCTAACCTAACCTGCCTGAGTATACTAAATTTGACCGGGAATACAAGAAGCAAACCCGAAACCAGAAACCTGGGAACCGTTTTTTTTTAAAAGTTCTTTCTAATATGTTATTAATGTAAATCGAGGTATGGTGTGGTTTTACATTTTTAGAATTTTAATAACGAATATAATAATAAAACATAGCCTTTTAATGTATGAGGTCGATACATACATAAATTTGAAGGCTTACACGATTTTTTCGTGGAAGCCTGTATCAAAAACACCGTGGTAGTGTTTGGTTTTACTTTTATAGAATTTTCATAACGAATATTATAATAAAACATAGACTCTTAATGTATGAGGTCGATACATAAACATATCAACTTCACAGTAAAGCATATCGACTGAGCGCGAAGTCAGTATGCTTTTCTGTGAAATCGATATAGCACATGACTACATTTGTTATTCTATTTATTTATTTATTTTTTGTGAACAAAAAAAGACATGCAAATTATTTTTCTAAGTTTGAAAACTTTTCGCTAACTCGAGTCACTATCGTAATATATAAATTTGCATGTGATATCAAGCAAACCAATTAGATGTTTTGAATTAGACAGTAAAAATAAAATTAAACTATGGCACCATTTATCATGTGACATACAGCAAGAGGGTGAGAGCTGCGATTTACCATCAAGACCTCATCTCTTTGGAATGATTCCGTCTGCACCGTGTGATGATGGCTTGGAGTGCACCAGTCCTATTTCCGAGAACCATTCAATAATGCGACTTGGGAAGGGAGTGTGTTCAACATCTAGAAAATGTAAATAGTAGTAACAATTATTGCATTGTGATAAATCGCCATGTCTCTGTGAAATTAATTATATTCTTAAAACATTTAATTGGAAAATGACTAAATTATTCATACATCAAAACACTTGGCCTCTAGACCATAAACAGAAAATTTAAGTCAACATTTTAAAATGGTGCACCTTTTGAGATAATTCGAATATTCAATTCATCATTTGTTTTTGCTTACATACATATCTGCATTTTTCAAAAACGCATACATGGAGTCATAGTCAAGATATTCAGAATAACATTTTTTTTTACTTAAGGATGACATTACTCAGATGACAAAAATTCTGCAGATAAAAATGAAAACCCACCTTATGTACGTTGTAGACCTGTTATGGATAATGTTAGTTTTCACTTTCAAATAATAAGGTCATAAACCTACTTTTAACGCTAGTGCCCCTTGAATATTTCTATGAAAATACTTCATTTCTTTCATTATGACCAATATTTTATACAATAACAAAATTCAAAAAGTAAGAAAACTCTTTGAATAATGAAATATAACTAAAATTTAAAAGTTTTGTTAGATTTAAAAAATAAAACAAAACAAAAGTTTGAACAATAAACTTGTTTATTATTCAAGTCCTATTTTCATCTGCCAGTTTTCTAATTTTTTCTCATATCAAAAATCTGAATGACAAAAACTTTAAACTATTTATAGTCTCAGTTTACCCTTATACTGCTAGCATTAAACTTTATGAGTTTAATGACCAAATTCCTTGGACATGTTGTCTAGAATGATTTTTTGTTATAATTTGAAATTCTACATTACATGTCATTTATTTATTTAAGGCAATACACAAGCTTTCAAACAAATAATATTTGCAAAATAATTTAGAAACAAGATGTGTTTGAAAAATTTTCAAACGTAAGTCAAACTCCAAGGTGAAGGAAAAAAGGTAAAAATTGTCGGTACCCAAAGCCCTAGCACCAACTGTTCAAAATTTATAGCCAATGTTCAAGTTTGTTAAAAGTGGGTCAAACTCCAAGGTCAAGGTAAAAAATATTTATACCCAAGTTGCGGTCTTACGGTCTTCTCACTCACAAGGAAAACACAAGTAAAGTATGACAGCTCTAGCACCAACTGTTCAAAATTTATGCCCAAGGTTGAAGTTTTTCAAACGTATGTTAAACGCCAAGGACAAAGTCAAAGGGACAAAACTATTGGTGCCTAAGGGAAGGTCTTGTCACAAGGAATGCACCTGTGAAATATGAAAGCCCTAGTTATAACCATTCAAAAATTTATGGCTTAGGTTTACGTTTGGTAAAATTTTGCAAAAGTGGGTCCAACTCCCAAGGTCAACAGATCAAATGTGTTGGTACCCAAAGAAAGGTCTCATCACAAGAAATACACACGTGACATATGAAAGCCATAGCTCCAACCAAGCAAAAGTTATGACCAAGGTTAGAGATTTGGCAGACAGAGACAGACAGACGGACAGGACAAAAACTATATGCCTCCGAATCTTCGATTATGGGGGGAGCATAAAAACACATAGAATTTTACCTTTTAGAATAATATCGTAAGAAAAATTTTGTGTAAAAAAAATTGAGATTTATGCGGATATTTTTTTTTGGCATCACTATAAATGTTCTTGCACATTTTCTTCAAATGGTAAACCATTCAATTTTGAAATTAATATTGATTTATTACATGGCTATTTTGTCCATTTAAAACAACGTTTAATTTAAGATATTGTACTTTATAGTAATCCGTATCCGTCAAAACAAACCCTGAGTGAAGGTCATCCTTAAGTTTGTTCATGGTCCAGGTTTATTGATACCTTTTCTGAATGTGTTCTATCTAGCTAGGAAGACTCGCAGCCAAACCTACACACCATGTCAGCAGATGTATATGCAGCGGTCTATCAGTATGGTGATATGGAATGGCTGGTATCTTCCAAAATGTGATGGCGAGGGCAATTTTGAGGCCGAGCAGTGTGACAATACAGGTGTGCAATTTGTCAAGAGGTTGTGTTAACATAAAATCGACTATGTAGATATCATGTACAAATACATGTCACCGCATGTCTATGGCACTCAATAGTAAATACATATCAGTTATCAAGAGAGAGATAAGTCTCTTATAAAGTCGGATTTTATAAAAAGAAAACATTACACATTTATTGACTGGGTTCAAGGGCAACATGCGTTTTGTCGGACCCAAGAACCAAACTGTTTAACAGATTGGTTCGAGATGTCATCAAAACCCATTTTGCCCGAGAACACAATAATGTTTTGTTATACCTTTAAATTTTTGTTATACTTTTTATTTTTTGATATACATATATCTTGTGCTGGCTTCCATGATGTAAATTTCCTTTACCTACTGTCGAACACAACGTAGGTCCCGTGCCGCAGTAGGTGCTGGCACGAAAAAGTTCCCTCACTGCTCATTGGCCGTAAGTGCCAAGTATAGGTCAGAATTTGTAGCCCTCCACTGGCAAGTGGTGGCGTCTCCATATGAGTGAAAAGTTCTCGAGAGGGACGTTAAACAACATACAATTAATCGAACACAACGAATGCAATTACGATTTAGCTGATCGTCACAGTGTGACGTAAGCGTTCCAATATCTCATCGACAGGTCAAACATCGATTTTTTGTGATGCTTCAATGAAACATATGAAATGTATGACTTTTTTTAGTATATGTTTATAGGAACCAACTTTTAAATGGATAACAAAAACTGTTAAGATCCGATAATAATAATGATATTGCATATTATAAATATAATAACATATACAAGACAGTACTATTTCAATATCAGATACTACATATCAACCTAATTAAAATCAGGTCATTGTTACGCTCCGAAATTCTGATAGTCGCTAAACAGCGACTATCAGAATTTCGGCGCGTAACAAAGATTTGATTTTAATCAAATTTTACTACACGTGTAACAGCATTCCAGATAGATGTATTTAAAACGACCCAACCCGGTATCTTTCACAGTTATTATAATCAAGCAGAAAACCGTAAAATTTAGCACGAACTGCTAATGTTTGATTTGAATCTATTTAGCTAAGAAAAGTAATATTTATGAAAGAAGATTCTAATTTCTGGTAGAGAACTCGAAAATTTTGCATTATCATTTCTAAAACACTTCGAACCGTAATGTCTATTTTACTATTGGTAAAACATTTTTTTTTAAATATTTGTGACGCTTCCTGAGTTAATGAGTGTAGATTTTTTCTTCAAATCATTAGGGTTCACAAAGGGATACATAGGAAATATCTTAAAGAATATTTTTTGAGAAAGCAAAGCCACCATTAATCGTGATATATGCAAGTATCCCCAAGTAGAACAGAATCGAGCTTGTTCAAGCCATGCATATGGCCCTCGAGGCTAGGGTTGGATTGAGATCAAAATTTTACAATTAACAGGTGAGTATCATTAAAAATATATTCTAGAACAACTGAGCTAGAATAATTTAATCATGCAAGCATAACTATCTTATATTTTTTTGTCTTCTTCTACAGGACACTGTTTTTGCGTTACACCCCACAAAGGCCAAACTATCGAAAATACAAAAGTCTTGGGCTCTGCCGACTGCTCTGCGCATGCTCCAGCCAAGCGTGATCTGACCCGGTGTCAGCAAATGTACCAGTTACGCATGATTTCTTTCGTCATTTATCATGGGATGTGGACACCTAAGTGTGATGCCGATGGAAAGTTTGAGCCTGTGCAGTGTGACAATACACGTAAGTATCAAATCTTGTAATTTCGATCGGCTCGACAATAATAATCTAAATGGAATGATCGAAAGATAAATAATGTTAATCCACGATGTGATAAGAGTGGTTAGAGCGTCTATTCTAGAGACGCGGAGTAAGGAGCTGATTCTTACGTCGCGGGTTCGAATCCACTGCGGGACGTGGAGAGCTCGGATGGGATCGTATAAACCGAGGCCCAGTGTCGTAGTAGGTGTATGCACGGAAAAGATCCCTCACTGCTCAATGGCTGCTCAGTCGACTCGACAATAATTATCTTAATGGAATGATCGAAAGATAAATAAGGTTAATCCACGATGTGACAAGAGTGGATTGAGTGTCTATTCTAGAGTCGCGGAGTAAGGAGCTGATCCTTACGTCGCGGGTTCGAATCCACTGTGGGACGTGAAGACGTGAAGAGTGGAGACTTCGGATGGGACCGTATAAACCGAGGCCCAGTGTCGTAGTAGGTGTTGACACGGAAAAGATCCCTCACTGCTCAATGGCTCTTATGGCCGAGTATAGGTATAAATTTGCAGCCCTCCACCGGCTAGTGGTGGCGTCTTCATATGAGTGGCACCGTTCACGGTAGCTCAGTCGGTAGAGCGCTCGCTCCGTGATCGGGAGGTCGTGAGTTCGAATCTCGGCCGCGACAGACCTAAGTCGATAAAAAATAGGTAGCAACTGTTCCTTCGCCATGCGCTCGGCACTTTGAAGTGAAAGTTGCGGGTCCTTCGGATGAGACCTTAAAAACCGAGGCCCCGTGTCACGGCAGGCGTTGGCACGATAAAGATCCCTCACTGCTCAATGGCCCTGGGTGCCGAGTAAAGGTCAAAATCTGAAGCCCTTCACCGGTATATGGTGACGTCTCTATATGAGTGAAAAATTCTCGAATGGGACGTAAAACAATATACAATCAATCAATCAATCATATGAGTGGAAAATCCTCGAGAGGGACGTTAAACAATAAACAAACAATGTGATATTAAAGTTGTTCCGCAGACTTATACATTATGAATGGTTCATCTGACCTTTACTTTATGTTCCGCTGATTAGATAAAGTGTGAGGTTAAGTACATTTGTATGTCAGTGCGCTTATCTGAATGATTAGCCGAATCAGACTTAAAGATATGGAATTTCTATTGATATTGTATGCGGAATATGCTACAGATTATGCTGAGTCTTACTTATAATTTATTTTTTGATCAGATCACTCAAGTGTAATGTTAACCCAGAGTTTAGTTCACTATTCACTGTATCAAGAAATATCCAATAGAAAAATACAGATCAGATGCATGCTTAGCAAGTTAATCTTGATTTTATTAATTAAAATTCGGTTGAAATCATCATCTTCCAGTTCATCATAGAATTGTCGGAAATAAACTAAATAATATATGTTGAATGCTTAAGTTCAAGTCTTGTTTCAGATGCTTGACTGACATTTTGTAAGGATCAGCGGGTAAGGCTACTGCAGACTTAATTCTCACTTAAATCAGACCTAAACATACGATGCTCTCTAAAAATTCTAAGTCTGGTGCAGTGTATCCGAGCTACGCTTTATGTCTGTGTTTGAATGACTCCACTTGTAAACACCATTTAACACTCTTACAATGTATAAGATTGCCATTATTAATCTTGCACAGATGGTACATGTCCGAATTTTTAGTTAATGATGATACTAATCGAAGACTGTATTTGACATAAGGCCATTCCAAGTTTTTTCTCTGTTTAGCGTCCACCCATCCTTCAAAAACCTACCTACCTATTCGCAAAAAACACACAAGACAAAAAATAAAACACAGACTTTATAGTCTTTAAAATGACGTCATACAAAGCATTACACTTCATCAATCTATTTCTCTCCTACAAAAACCTATTCTTTAGCAAAATCAATGCATTAAATGCTTAAAATATACCTATAATGACATTTTGTAAATAAATACTTAGAGATATTGACAGATTTGAAAAAAATTGACCAGAATAATCAATTTCAGGACTCCTGATTTTGTTTGTTTTTTCTCATATGGGGTGTCAAAAACCAAGGCGCACGCGGACGCTAAACATAGAAAAAACTTGGAATGGCCTAAATCATACATCTGAGTGAGTTTGTATAAGGACGGTGTTTTGACAGTTTTCAGCTTAATTTTTTTTCATGGTAAGGTTCTAGTTGATGCACGTAGATCGGAATTGATCTACTGTGCCTCTCTATCTCTCTCTCTCTCTATATATATATAAGATTCACCTTCCTTTTAGAACACTGCTTCTGTGTGACTGAATTAACTGGAACAGTCGTGAAAGGATCAAAGGTTGCCCACAGGAACCCCGATTGCTCTATTTACGACCTGACGGAGAATCCTACCACTACTACTGTGTCTTTTACATAAACGCCTCTATATTTAAAGAATTAAAGATGTGAATAAACAAATAAATATCTGTAGTGTTTTATCTATTAGTCGAAAAACCATAAATATTTAGCCTTCTTCAGGTGAAAGCTGGTCTTTCAAAACTTAGTATCGTACAACCTTGCAACTTTTTTGAATCAGGTTTGTTGAATAAGAATGAAAATATTCAAATTCTAAAATTGACTTTAGTCTGTTTTCAGTTGACTAGTATTTGCGCCAAAGAGACTTTATTTCGTTTTTCTGAGACCAGTCAGATTCCTTTCTTTTTTTTTTTAATTAAGCTTTGAGATAGTTGTATATCATCAATATTCAACTACATACATGTACCTTTTATCAAAATTTTGACCTTTTACTTGTGGAAAATTCTTCCTTTTTTCCCAATTTATTTATGCTTAACTATAATATTCTAAAGTAAGACTTGATTCATAAATGTTTATATCACATGCCTTCTCGGGTGACTTTACCAGAATACTTGCCCATCTGTGAAAGAAAATCCCTGGAGTGTTATGACACCCCCTGCCTTTGGCATCGGGTAACATAACACTCTAGGGCTCTCCTGTCCCCGAGGGCAAATATTCTGGTATAGTCACCCTCGAAGCCATGTGATATAGATGCATGTATAATAAGACATGCAGTCACCTTGGGATTTCTATGTGTAACAGATGGGGCCTTTTATCTCCTTTGTTTTAAATATATGGAGATAACGAACAGTATCCAAGCTCAAAAGTCCATTCAAAGAATAAAAAGCAGGAGCAGAGCAAACACGGACCTCTAAAACATCAGGGGTGAGATCAGCTGCCATAGAAAAGTGAGCATCCCCTGTTGACCGGTCAGATCCGCGGTGTGCTCTTGTCATAATCGGGAAATAACGGAAAATTCGTCGACAATTCAGTGTGTAAATAATGGCCTAACAATTAGTATAAAAAACGTCAGTCAGCATTTGACTTGGTGATAGATTGTATTTGCTGACAAGGTCACTGTACCGACCATAGAACTTACGAAATGATGACTTTAAATGGGACTCTTGATATTATTGTTTCATCAACTTGTTTGTTAATAACTTACCTCGTTTTATAAATTTTTCTTGCGTATCGCATCAACTGAAAGATATAAACTCAGTTGCAGGTAATGAGGGTATATTGCTACATAAGGAAAGTTGACGATTGAAAAGTTAAAGTCATCACGTTTATCATAAAGCTTTGTTGTTAGATTACCATTAACGTCTTTTTCTAGTAAAATATCCAAATATGAAATAGATTTGTCATACTCTGTGGTATCTTTTATTTCAAGCTCACTGGAATATATATCGTGTCGACATATGAGTGGAAATGACTATTGTTAATTGATAATACGTCGTCGATATATCTTAATGTCGAGTTGAAGGCCACAGCAAGAGTTTTGTTTTTCTCATGCATAAGACTTTAAATAAATTCTACTTCATATGAATATAAAAATAGGTCTGCTAATAACGAGGCACAATTGGTACCCATGGGAATTCCAACAGATTGTTGGAAGACCTGATCTCCAAAAACCACATAGATATTGTCAATTAGAAACTCGAGCATCTTTCTGATATCAGAGTACTTGTGTGTACAATCAGAATGATTTTAACAAAATAATTTTGCAAATGACCAATAACCAGGTAACTAAATTTACGAGTTTAATTTGACTAAACTTTGAGACACTATAATGAAGGGAGATATAATTCCAGCTGCATAGCAGAGTTACAGATTCCATGTTCCAGTCCCGTATAAAAGTTGGAGAGAAACTTGTAGCTATCCAAAATAGGATGGGAAAAGTAAGAATATGTAGTAAGTATATTTACAATGTACCTTAAAAGGGAGGGTACTTATCAACTTTTGGTGATTCTTTAATTACAAAATTAAATGCAAGTATAGTTTCTGACTATATAATCACCGAAAAAGAAAAATGAATAGAAAAAAGATAGGAAAAGTAGAAAGCCCCGGTGTTTGGATCACAACTAAGTAAGTTTCTGATAGAAAGAATGGCAGTGTCTATATTTTGCCCGAAACTCTGATCAGTTAAAATTTTTGTTTGTTTTTTGTGTGTGGAATTATATCCTTTCTCTGGACTATATTGAAAGTAAAACAAGAGGCCCAAGGGCCTTGAATCCCTCTTCTGATAAACTGTACAACCTAACACTTCTATTTGAAGCCTCTAAGTATCCTGTATATTTAGATAAACCCTTGAAATTCCAAAGGTAGGTAATCATGACCTACATACAAAGTTTGATGATTCTAAGCCAATAAGTACCTGATATATTTAAATAAAGCCATAAAATTTCAAAAACAGGTCAGGGTGACCTACTTATCACTTGTTATTCTCTGAGGACCCAAGATACAGAAACAAAGTTTGATGATTCTTAGCCACATAGTACCCGAAATATTTAATTATTGTCATGTAAATTGAAAAGTAGGTCACGGTGACCTACTTTCCAAAGTTTTCACTTTTATGTTTTTAGAGGACCCAAGATGCATCAACTGACTAAGTTTGATGATTCAAGGCCAGTTATTACCTGAAATATTTAATTATACAATATGTAGTCATATAAATTGAAAAGTAGGTCACGGTGACCTACTTTTCTGTCAACCTACTGCAAGGACCCAAGATATATCAACTGTCAAATTTTGATGATTCTTAGCCAAATAGTACCCGAAAATATCAAATACAGCCAAAAATTTCAAAAGTAGGTCAGGGTAACCTACTTTTCACTTCTCGTACTCCAAGGACCCAAGATGCATCACCTGACAAAGTTTGATGATTCTAATTAAGCCAATTAGTACCTGAAATATTTAATTAAAGCCATAAATTTTCAAAAGTAGGTCACGGTGATCTACTTTTCGGTCGACCTATTCCGATGATCCAAGATGCATCAACTGACAAAGTTTGATGATTCTTTGCCAATTAGAACCCGAAATATTTAATTATAGTCTTATAAATTGAAAAGTACGGTGACCTACTTTTCAGTCGACCTACTTCGAGGACCCAAGATGCATCAACTGACACATTTTGATGATTCTAAGCCAAATAGTACCCGAAAATATGATATACAGCCTTAAAATTTCAATAGTAGGTCACGGTGACCTAATTTTCAGTTGTCGTACTCCAAGGACCCAATATGCATCAACTCATCATTTTGAAAAAGAATGGCCGCAAAATTTTAAAAGTAGGTCACCGTGACCTACTTTTCAGTCAATATGATATGACGTTCTTAGATGCATCAACTGAAAAGATTTGATGATCCTAGTCCCTATAGTAAGCAAAATATCAACATTTTAATAAAATTTAATTTTTTGTCAACTTTGAAGTGACCTTGAGGACACGCCCTTTGCCCCAGGGTAAATCCCCGTGCAAATTTAAATTTACAACATAGCTTCATCCTTTTGTGTAAGTTTGGTGATAATCTGCCCAGTGGTTCTTGAGGAGAAGATTTTTTTTAGCAACCAGTACTTTTGTTTATATTTTCCTAATTATCTCCCCTTGTTTAAGGGTCACAACCCTGGTTTTAGTATAATTGGGAGCCCTTGGGCCAAGGATACCCTGTGACAAATTTGACAATAATTGGCTAAGAGGTTCTTGAGTTTGACCCATATTCTAAAAAGTTTACGCACACCGCACAAATGGCCATAGCATTAGCTCTTTGAGCCTTTGGCTCAGAAGAGCTAATGATAAATAAGTGACTTATAAATTGAATAAATAATACGACGAAATTTTAACACATTGGGACATATAAATTCATTAAAAAACAAGAGGCCCAAGGGCCTTAACGGTCACCTGAGTATAATACAACAATTTAGAAGTTAAATACACTGATAGATGAAGCATTGTTGCCCTAGCCCCCCCCCCCTCCTCAAGAACCCCAAAAACTGAGGCCATATATTTGAAAAATTTTGGAAGAGGCATCCTTGTCTATCATAATCATGCACTTAGTTTGTTTAAATAATCTCCAGTAGCAGAGAAGAAGTTTTTCAAAGAATCAATGCATTTTCACTATATAATCAATAGAGCCCCGCCCTAACACCAGAACCCCTGACCCTGGGGCCATGAAATTCACAATTTTTGAAAAGGCATCCCTATGCGTTTAAATAGTCTCCAGTAACAGAGAAGAAGATTTTCAAAGAATCAATGCACTTTCACTATATAATCAATACAGCCCCACCCTAACACCAGAACACCTGACCCTGGGGCCATGAAATTCACAATTTTTGAAAAGGCATCCTTATGCATCATAACCATGCACTTAGTTTGTTTAAATAATACCCAGGAGCAGAGAAGAAGATTTTCAAAGAATTAAAGCATTTTCACTATATAATCAATAGAGCCCCGCCCTAACACCAGAACCCCTGACCCAGGGGCCATGGCTTTCACAATTCTGGAAGAGGCCCACCTCCTCATCATAACTACGTACTTAGTTACTTTATTAAATACCCAGGAGCAAAGAAGATTTTCAAGGAATTAATGCTTTTTCACTATATAATTTATAGAGCCTCGCCCTAACACCAGAACCCCTGACCCTGGGGCCATGAATTTCACAATTTTAGAAGAGGCACTCTTGCTCATCATAACTATGTACTTAGTTCCTTTATTTAATACCCAGGAGCAGAGAAGAAGATTTTCAAAGAATTAATGCATTTTCACTATATAATCAATACAGCCCCGCCCTAACACCAGAACCCCTGACCCTGGGGCCATGAATTTCACAATTTTGGAAGAGGCACTCTTGCTCATCATAACTATGTACTTGGTAACTTTATTTAATACCAAGGAGCAGAGAAGAAGATTTTCAAAGAATTAATGCACTTTCACCATATGATCTATATAGCCCCATCCTGGGGCCAGAACCCCTGACCCTGGGGCCATGAATTTCACAATTTTGGAAGAGGCACTCTTGCTCATCATAACTATGTACTTGGTAACTTTATTTAATACCCAGGAGCAGAGAAGAAGATTTTCAAAGAATTAATGCATTTTCACTATATAATCAATACAGCCCCGCCCTAACACCAGAACCCCTGACCCTGGGGCCATGAATTTCACAATTTTGGAAGAGGCACTCTTGCTCATCATAACTATGTACTTGGTAACTTTATTTAATACCCAGGAGCAGAGAAGAAGATTTTCAAAGAATTAATGCACTTTCACTATATGATCTATATAGCCCCACCCTGGGGCCAGAACCCCTGACCCTGGGGCCATGAATTTCACAATTTTAGTAGAGGGCTCAATGTTTATTACAATGATGCCAACAGTTTGACTGCTTCATGTCCGGGAGTAAAGAAGAAGATTTTTAAAGATTGCATTATTTTTGGTGGTTTTAGCCCCACCCCTCAGGCCCCGGGGGGGGGGGGCAGGGACCATGAAATTCACAATTTTTGTTCCCCTTCACCCATAGATGCTATATACCAAATTTGGTTGAAATTGGTTGAGCGGTTCTAGAGAAGAAGTTAAAAATGTTCAAAAGTTAACGCACGACGGACGACGCACGACGACGGACAAAAACAGATAGCAATAGGTCACCTGAGTGACTCAGGTGACCTAAAAAAAGATAGGTGCATTTAGCTCTTTACAATGTAAAACATCAAATATTTAAATGATGTTTTAAAAAGGCCATAATCAATAAAATCTTTTACGATTACACAGCTTTTTCTTGTTAGCATTATTGCTGACTTACTGAAAGAAAACTGAAAATTTTATTTTAAATTACTTTTAAATAGGGCTCGAAAATGTGCATTTCTAAAATCGATCAGCAATTTAACCCGTCGGGGTCCTTATTATGTATTCGACTTATATACAGTTTGTTGCTCTAGGGTCCAATAGCCCTATAAACCGACAGCAATGACGCATCAGTGACTTTGTACTTGGCATCGTGTAAATTAGTGGTTGGACGTACAGTCTGATTTTGTCTTTCTGTTTTGCTTTTAGCATATTCGACAAATATATTTCTTGCAATCCCCCCCCCCCCCAAAAAAAAAACAGAAATAAAATAAATTTTTAAAAAATGTCGAATTATGAAAATAACAGTAAACCGATTGATGGCTTTATCCATCACGTTCAATATAGCATTGTTTTTGCAAATGTAAGGGGGTGAAGGTGATGGGTAAATATCTATCCATTAAAATTGGAATATTCGACTGCTGCATCAAAAAGTGAGGGGAGGGTGACCGACCGCCCTTTTAATGAACATTTTAATACTAGGTACCTATTACCAATCAGTTCTCGTCCTGCATTATGCTAAAACAGTTTTTAAAAAGATTTTATCTCAAAAAAGATGTAAATCATGCAACCTGCTGCGAAACTTCACACGGTATTTTCCTATCTATCACAGTGTTTATGACAAACTTTATACTAATCAAATGCACGTTAAAATAAACGAATAATAAAATTCTAATGGACAAAAACAAAGTTTTAGGTATAATTGGAAGATTTCTCAAAACGTTTAACTCTTGTACATTAACTCATATTAAAAAGAACATTTCTGAACAAATAACCTAGCTTTCCTTTTTGCCCCCTAGTCCATATTTTACAAAATACCAACATGTCCTTGTAATGTGTAAATAGTCATACATTGCTTGAGTGACTAACTTTTTTTTATCTGCATTGAGCATAGCCATAGATAACACTTTTGCAAAGAAGCTATCAAAAATGTTGGAGATTATAACTGTGATTTTTATTTTGGTACTGTGTATATATCACTACCGGAAGGAATTAAAAAGCGATTTTCCTGGCCCACCAGGCATACCCTTCGTTGGCGTCGCATTTCAGGTCGACTTGAATCGGCTTCATTTGAAGCTGTATGAATGGACATCGATTTACGGAGAGGCTTTTCAGTTTTCAGCATTTGGCAAATCGTACATTTCACTCAACTCAGCCGATGCCATACGAAATGTCTTAGGATGCGAACCAAATGCAACAACCGTGGCATCCCGAGAACCGTCGTTTTTCGGGGAGTATTGCCTTGAGAATTATTCCGACATTGTATTTTCACCTTACAGCAAAGAGTGGTCCAGTAGACGTAAGGTTGGCCACCAACTTTTACATACATATGGAGATGGGGTGCACTTGCTGGAGGACGAAATTCTACAGAAACTTAAAGATGTCAAACAATATATCAAAGATAATAATGAGAAGAACATCGACCCACACGATATGGTGGAAGAGTTCTTATGTAAAAACTTGGCCTCACTGGTAATATTTTTTGCAGTTAATTACATTAAGTTATGAGAAAAAGTTCATTCCTATTATTAAACGTCCTAAAATACTGTAAAGATTACATGTAAGAAGAAACAATAGTAAATGATATGCTAGATTGTTTGCAGCTGACAAGAATTACAATTACTCTAGATCTCGTAAACAAGAAATGTTCAGTAAAAATAAAATTTATTGCTTTAGAAATTACTTTCATTAGATTGCTGGAACTACCGATCAACAACTGCAACAACTGATGAAAGATATGGATCACATTTCCAACGACATTGCAGGACCCTTAGTTGATAACATGTTTAAGACATTTCCTTTCCTGAGGTTTCTACCCTTTTCTATCACCAAGAAACCTTTCCTTGTAAAATCCATGACAGAAGATATAATTAAGAGAATAAAGAAAATAACGGTAAGTTTATTAAATCTTAAGGTATTTATAAGCTGATAAATCTAATCTAAACTGAAACATTGAAAGTTTCCTTCACTTGTAGCTACCTACTCGCCATATAAGACCGTACATAAGCGAATCAACCATCTACAGTTACTGTAACAGTTGTAATTAAGGAGGGATTCTTCTCATATTTCTTGTATTTAAAAATCAAAATTTTCCTGGATTCAAGAAGACATTAAGGGATGGTATCAATTAGATTAAATTTGACCGTTTTATTTTAAAAGCAAGGTCAGGTCAAGGTCATTATCTTTTTTAAGTGACCTTAAGAATAAAACAAAAATACCGTTGCCAATCATGCGATGCCGACTTCTATTTCAAAAAATTAAATGTTTTTCTTTTTGCATAAAAAGATATTACCATATAGGGTCTATCAGATGATACTATCAATTGACATAGATAATTTAACTAAAATAGATATTGGCTAATCCAAATTTCCTCTATTTTTCTTAGATTCTTACGATATAGTAGTTATTTTTATATGCTTCTATTATTTAAATTTTTCTTAATTTTACATATTGTAAAGTAGTCATATAAATATACAAATTGATACAAAAACAAAAAGTTTTGAGCGTTTACTAAGAGAGAAAAAAAACTTTTTACTGATTTTTGGTTAAAATCTGTAATTAGATCGGAGGGGTTTTAAGTTAACAAAATTGTAGTTTGTTTGGAAAATCATATTTATTTGATATATTTTAAAACTTCAGTCCATTATTATTAATTTTACTTACATTTGAAATTGTCTTTTCATCTTTGATTGTTTAAAAATTTTAACTAAATTCGTTGGTTTATAGTACTTTTGAGAAGCAGAAAAGGAGATAGTTTCATACACCGGCGTTCCGCCAAAAAGATAGTCCCTGCTAGATTTCAAACTCAGTTTACCATTTCTATTTAAATTTGTACAATTATGATGAGGAAAGAAAAACATGATCTTTTAAATCTCTTACATCTAAACATATAAGACATATAACAAATATACGTTGAATATTTCATCTAGTCAGAGACCAGACAAGAATCCCTCCTTCAGCTAGATTGTAACAGGGGTGTGCAAAGAAACCAAAAAAAAAAAACAAGAGGCCCAAGGGCCTTAACGGTCACCTGAGTACAATACAACAATTTAGAGGATCCATAGAGTATTAAAATGAAATGAAAGGTGAAGCTTTGTTGCCCAAAAGCAAGAAAAATAGGGTGATCAGGATCAACAAAATAATTAGTCTACTATTCATTAACAGTTCATAAATTAGGTTCTAATCTGTTCCCCATTTATCACTATCACCATACAGTATATTAACAAACTATCAGTGCTTTTGTACTATTTTAATTCCTTGTTGTAATCTCTTACATTGGCCTCTCTTGGTCTTTGATGAACATTTAATAAGACAAGTTATTTTTGTCTCATTTTCATTTATCTATTACTTACAAGTCCACATGATCATTAAAACTATGAAAATACTTTTTGTATTATACAATAAAAATTCTTGCATAATTCTCTTATTCTATTAATTTTTCAAGTACATTATTTACAAAGATTAACTATCAAAAGTAAATGGCAAAGGGGAATAACTCCTCTCAGTAGAATGCAAATTAATTGAGCCCTGGCTAGGACCAGAACACTTGACCAAATGGTCCAGATGTTCAAAAATCTGGTAAAAATACCCTTCCTTATTACAACTTTTACACTTTTTGCCTCTGATATGCCCAAGTGCAGAGAAGATTTTTAAAGAAATAATGCATTTTCACTACAGATTCACTATATTATCAATAGAGCCCCTCCCCCCCCCCCCTTTCACCACCGAGAAACACTACATTATCAACAGCCCCACCCTTAAACCAGCACATCTGACCCAGGGGTCATGCAATTCACTATTCTGGAAGAAGCACTCTTGCTCATCATAACTATAAACTTAGCTTCTTTGCTTTTTAACCAGAAGCAGAAAAGAATATTTTCAAAGAAATTTTGATTTTTCACTATATAATCAATAGAGCCTCCCCCCCAACCCCCCCCCCACCCACCTTTTGACCAGAACCCTTGACCCTGGGGTCATGAAATTCACAATTTTAGAAGAGGCATCCTTGCATATCATAACATTGTACTTAGTTTGTTTAAATAGTACCCAGGGGCAGAGAAGATTTTCAAAGAAATAATTCACCTTCACTGTAGGAGCTATATAGCCCCACCCTAGCACAAGAACCCCTGTCCCTGGGGCCATGAATTTCACAATTTTGGAAGAGGTGTCCTTGCTTATCATAACAATGTACTTAGTTTGTTTCAATAATGCCCAGAAGCAGAGAAGAAGATTTTTAAAGCATTAATGAATTTCACTATATAATAAATAGAGCCCCGCCCTAGCATCAGAACCCCTGACCCAGAGGCCATGAAATTCACAATTTTGGTAGAGTTACTCTTGCTTATCATAACTATGTATTTAATTTGTTTAAATAATACCAAGGAGTAGAGAAGAAGATTTTTAAAGAAATAATGCACTTTCACTATATGATCTATATAGCCCCCTCCCCCCAGCACCAGAGCCCCTTACCTGGGGCTATGAATTTCACAATTTTGGTAGAGTCACTCTTGCTTATCATAACTATGTATTTAATTTGTTTAAATAATACCAAGGAGTAGAGAAGAAGATTTTTAAAGAAATAATGCACTTTCACTATATGATCTATATACCCCCCCCCCCCCAGCACCAGAACCCCTGACCCTGGGGCCATGAATTTCACAATTTTGGTAGAGTCACCCTTCCTGATCATAACTCTGTATCTAATTTGTTTAAATAATACCCAGGAGTAGAGAAGAAGATTTTCAAAGAAGTAATGCACTTTCACTATATGATCTATATAGACCCGCCCTAGCACCAGAACCCCTGACCCTGGGGCCATGAATTTCACAATTTTGGTAGAGGGCTCAATGCTTATTACAATCATGTCAACAGTTTGACTGCTTAATGTCCAGGAGTAAAGAAGAAGATTTTTAAAGATTGCATTAATTTTGATGGTTTTAGCCCCACCCCTCAGGCCCCAGGGGGGCAGGGACCATGAAATTCATAAATTTTGTTCCCCTTCACACATAAATGCCATATGCAAAAATTGGCTGAAATTGGTTCAGCGGTTTCAGAGAAGAAGCTGAAAATGTTCAAATGTTAACACACGACGCACGACGACGGACGAAAACAGATAGCAATAAGTCACCTGAGTGACTCAGGTGACCTAAAAAATCCTGTCAGGGTCAACAAGATTTTTGTCTAAACACTTGCCTGCTATAATAAACCATAGAACCCATAACAAAAAATGATTAGAATAAGCGGGAAAACTCTAAACCAGTCAAGAAAACCAATCAAATAAGACCTCTCATGACTAATAAAAACCAACAAGCATTCTGAGAGTAATGCATTAGCAATACTAGTCCTCTACAGGCAAGTGTAATCTGGTTCCCGTTATAAATTGAAAATGCCATAATTCCGTCAAAAATCAATGAAGTGGAACGAAATGCAAACTTGATCTCTAACTCATCAAGGTAAATTCACATACCAAAAATCAGCTCAATATCTGCAAGCGTTTAGAAAAAAATGCGGAAAACCCTGAACAATTGAAAAGGTCATAATTCCGTCAAAAATCATTGAAGCGGAACGAAATACAAACTTGGTCTGTAACTCATCAAGATACACTCACATACCAAAAATCAGCTAAATATCTGCAAGCGTTTAGAAAAAAAGTGCGGAAAAACAAGTGGGACAGACTGACAGTGGGACAGAAAAATGGACGGACAGACTCAGAGGAAACCTATAGTCACCTCCGGTTTCACCGGTAGGGGACTAATTAGAACATTGGTCAACTTCAAAACACCTGACCAATATCCTCAGGTATATATAAGTATGCACAGGTAAGTGAAAACTATAAAATGTATATTCTGGCAAGTTCTTCACTTCATTTTTTTTTAATACAAAATTCAACACCATTACAACATCAAACCGGTTGCCGAATGACGTCCAAGTCATTCAAATGGGAAGCTGTATTCTGTGATATAAGACATGAATTTTCATTATGTAATGGATATATGCCGAATACTGTTCTATATGTAAAATTATCAGACTGTCTGAGGCCCGTTAGGGCCGAAAACAGTCTGATAATTTTACATATAGAATTGTATGAGGCATATATCATACTTAAAACATTGCTGTTTAAATGTCCAAAAGTTACCTGGAGGAGTCCTATAATTACACAATAGGAGTTCAGGCATCAATAGTTTTCTACCTGAAACCATCTAATAAGTAGACAAAAGAAAAGAGAAAGTTTTTTTTTTCTTTAGATACCGGTAGTAAAATCAGTGAGTGAACTCTTTTGTTTCATTCATTCAATGGCAGTCGTTTGGCTTAGCAGGAACTATGGACAGTGGTCAGGTGATGAAGGTTTTTTTATGATTCGGAATATTTTTTTATTAAGTGCGTTGATACATATACTGTGTTGGATGATATCTTAAAAATGCATTTAAAGTAAAAATGCGGATTTTTATCTAAAATTTTGATTGGATGATATGATGAAAATCTTGGGTTTTAAAAGTGTGGTCATTGGCGAACAAACCTCGTTAAATGAAGAGATTCGCAGACTGGTTCTTTATCAGAAATGGATTTAAATTGGCTTATTCACAGTGCTGTATCGAAAACGCTTTGCAAAAAAACCGAATCGAAAGTGTTACTTTTGAGGAAGGTTTAAAACTCCAGTTTCTTCTTGGGTTTGCTATTTTTAACAACTTAATTTCCTCGCGTTCCCTTTCCCTTAATTTTTTCTCCATAACTTTTTTTGGTTTCTGGACAAATTAAACCTTGATCTCACACAAGCTGTTGTTTTTTAACTACTGTCCGATTTTGTTATCACTGCCGTCCGATAATGTATTACTGGACTGCTAATTATTATTATCGGACGGCTACAGGTAAATTTTTAGACTGCAAGAACAAAGGCATGACGTCACAGCAATGTTTTAAGTACAATTAAACCATTACCAAAATGATACAGACAGAAAATTAGTCAAAGCCAACTGGCAAACACTGGAGTCAAAACTCTAAAAAGTCCCTTGTTCCATCAGTTGGCTCTCTTTAACCAGTATGACTGTGCCTGGCTCATTAGCACAATGTCCTTTGTCCATTTTGGTTTCTGTTCCTCTCTTGTTGACCTTCTCAGAGCTGGTATTCGTGTACAGAATTGATAACTATTTGTATGGAAGACACATCTTCATGTTCGTCAGTAATCTCATCAGGCGAAAGTACATCTTGCTGCACATTTACATGTATTTATCCTCATCGTCACTCTCTTCAGTATGGTTCCCAGACTGATCTTCCTGGCAGAGAGTGTCTCTCCTGAATCAACTGCTGATGCCTCCTCAGAAAAGAATGATCATAATCCTCATGACTTGAAATACTTGGGTGTGAATTTCCTGTATGCATTATAGATTAACGTACAAAAGAAAGTTGACGCTTGCGTTGAGCAGTGGTTAGAGCGTTCTCTCTAGAGACGAGGAGTAAGGAGTTGATCCTTACGTCGCGTGTTCAAATCCCACTGTGGGACGTGGAGACCGGCCCTTCGGATGAGACCGTATAAACCGAGGTCCCGTGTCGCAGTAGGTGCTGGCACGAAAAATATCCCTCACTGCTCAATGGCCCTGAGTGCGGAGTATTGATCAAAATTCGCAGCTCTCCACCGGCAAGTGGTGGGCTTCTGCATATGAGTGAAAAATTCTCGAGAAGGACGTTAAACAAACAAACAAAAGAAAATTCACTGTGTTAATCTGAAAGGGACATTATATCATTAGAATTTAGTTTTACTAATGTTTCCCTTTTTTACTGCCTTCCTTTCCTCGTCTGGGTTGTTTCAGTGGAGGAGGTGTAGATGTCTGTAACTTAGAAGCCATAGGTAGTATTAATTTTCTACGAAGAATTTTACATCTTCCCTCACCGTCCTTTCCTCTAACTTTGTACACAGGTTTATTCTGGTTGGTTGGGTTGGGCATTGGCTACATACGGATAATATTCCCAAATAACAGAGATGTTGTGCTTTACTTCATAAGAAACAATCTTCACCAGCACTCGGTTTCCGACCTGTATGTTGCTGCTCTTGCTTTTAATTTATAATTACAGTTAATTTGCTTTTCTCGGAATTAATACTTAATTGCTGTATTGGTTAATATATACGCTTCATATAGCAGTTGTTTCAATCTGTCTATATACTTGGTAGTGCATTTTTTCTAACCAGGATGTTTAAAAAATCCAAAAGTGGCATGAATTTGTAACTTTGGCTTCCTCCCTAACATCAGATAAATTGGTGAGAAACCAGCTTTGTCCTTTGCCGAAACATTGCATGAACTAGGGAAATGGTGTGGCTTTTCCAATCAGATTTCTAAGAATTTTATAAAGTGCTAAGCATGGAAAGTAAAGTTCAATTGAATTGTTCCGTTACACCAGTTCGCAATGGATGTTAGGTGGTTGTTCTCGATTTCGAAATTTCTCAGAGTGAACATAATTCCTTAATGATCTGCTGCAAAAGATTCTTCCTTGGTCTGAATGGAGTTTTCCTGGTATGCCGTAATGAAGAATGAAATGCTTGCAGATAGCTTCAGTAAATAATTGTTTTGGCTGTTTAAGACAATATTCCTTGATGCACTAGAATACTTGTTGCAATATTAATATGATGCGTTCTTTGAAAGATTTTGAATAAAATAAGTTAATTATCTAAACACAGAAACGCTTTTTTAGTTACACTACTGACGGATCCCGTACATGTATTTTCCCGCAATAGCGTGACGGTGTTTTAATCCTTTCTGCTATACACCGTCGCAGTTTTATCATCGTGTTGATTGTGGGGACACTAATCCGTGGTTAACTAAAATTGAACTCTATAATCTTCAGTGGCAGAATTAAAGGATTTGTTGGTGAATAAATGATCGACGTTTTATTTTTCGTAATTTTTTAGTCGGCATTAACATATTAAAAATCTAGAAATAATTTACAGATATCGTTACATGTATTTTTTTAAGAAAGCTGGTATCTGAATTATACTTGACACATATTCTATCCAAGCAATGGACTTTTGCGTGAAGCACTGACATTTTACAATCGACAGCTAACCTTATTCTACTACATGGCCGTAGGAACCGGGGGGGGGGGGGGGGGGAGCGTGACCCCCAATAATTTTGCCGATATATAGATTACTATATAAAACATAGCTACTATATGCTTGTGCCCCCTCAATAAAAACGTCTGATGGCCTTTTTTGTCTTTGCTTGTCAAGTAAATTTTGGTAGTTGATAGTGCCCCCCCCCCTCCAACTGAAAATGTATGGCTGTGCCCCCCCCCCCAACTGAAATTGCTTCCTACGGATCTGTACTAGCACAATATACAGAAGCTCTTCTGCGATATGTTAAGCTTAACAGTTAGTGAAACGATAATTATGGGACATTCCAAAGCACATATTACATTCACTCTACCCTCAACCCCCTCCCATTCCCACATTGACCAACTCTTAGTTTTCCTTCTGGGGTGTTTTTCTTCCTTATTTGCCTTCAGAAAATTAGATTGAAAGGAGATATATGTATGTTGAAAATGCATTAATTCTTTGGAAATCTTCTGCTCCTGGATATTTAGAATACGAACTAAGAGCGTAGTTAAATGAAATGTGCAAGTATGCTTCTTCCAATTTTGTGAAATTCATGGCCCCTGGATCAGGGATTCTGGAGTGGGGAAGGAGTATTTTGATAATATCGCGAAAATTTTTATTTGTTGAAAATCTTCCTTACTTCTCCAGAGCATTTAGCAGAAGGTAATAGTGAATTCGAGTGCATTTTCTCTGCTCTATCGAACAGAAACTAACAGAGAAACCAAACATGGTTATGATGAGAAATAGTGCTTTCCCTCAACCGGAAGTCTCTGACGAGACTGTAGCTCTACTGGTTGTATTTATAAAGGAAGATAAAAGTAGCACTTGGACTTGAAACTTTGCAACAGCAATAAACAGAATAATGATCCTTGGTTTAGTCTCTTTTGTGGCAAGATTTATTATAATATCAGACTAAAACTGTAGGAGGAGTAGCCTTTTAAAACAATTTTACAGAAATTTTGATTTAAGTTACCATGGCAACATCATTCAACAAAATCAAAAAACAATAACACCAATTATGTATCTCTGTAGTCTACGTGTATGCCACATTATACTGAAATCAGACAAAAAGTGTAGGAGGAGTAGCGTTTTGAAAGTATTTCAAGAAAATTCCTATTTTTAGTAACCATGGCAACACTGTTCATCGAAATCCGAAACTGGTATAGAGAATTATGTATCTCAGTGTAGTCTACTTGTGTGCTAATTAGTATTACTAAAATCAGACCAGAACTGTAGGGGTAGCATTTTGAAGGTATTTCAAGGAAATTTCTATTTTTAGTAACCATGGCAACAATGTTCATCGAAATCAGAAATCAATATAAAGAATTATGTATCTTAGTGTAGTCTACTTGTTTGCCAAGTAATACTGAAATCAGATCAAAACTGTAGGAGGAGTAGCATTTTGAAAGTATTTCACAGAAATTTCTATTTTTAGTAACCATAGCAATATCGTTCATCGAAATCAAAAACCGATACACAGAATTATGCATCTTAGTATAGTCTACTTGTGTGCCAAGTTATATTGAAATCAGATCAAAACTGTAGGAGGAGTAGCATTTTGAATGTTTTTCACAGAAATTTCTATTTTTAGTAACCATGGCAACACCGTTCATCGAAATCAAAAACCGATACACAGAATTAGGTATCTTAGTATAGTCTACTTGTGTGCCAAGTTATATTGAAATCAGATCAAAACTGTAGGAGGAGTAGCATTTTGAAAGTATTTCACAGAAATTTCTATTTTTAGTAACCATGGCAACACCGTTCATCGAAATCAAAAACCAATACACAGAATTATGTATCTTAGTATAGTCTACTTGTGTGCCAAGTTATATTGAAATCAGACCAAAACTGTAGGAGGAGTAGCATTTTGAATGTTTTTCACAGAAATTTCTATTTTTAGTAACCATGGCAACACCGTTCATCGAAATCAAAAACCGATACACAGAATTATGTATCTTAGTGTAGTCTTCTTGTGTGCCAAGTTATACTGAAATCAGACCAAAACTGTAGGAGGAGTAGCATTTTGAAAAATTGTTTACAGACGGACGGACAGACAGACAGACAGACGGACGGACGACGGACACCTTACTATCGCATAAGCTCTTCTGGTCTCTGACCAGTAGAGCTAAAAATCGTGAAATCCATGGCCTCTGAGACAGGGGTTCTGGAATTAGGGTCAGGCTCTATTAAACAAATTTATTCTACTTTAATAGAATTTATTCCTTTTCATTATTCACTTATTTACTCATTATTCACAATAGTTAGGTAGATTTTTAAATAATAGATGGATAAAAATGAGACATAAATATCTTATACATGTACATTGAATAAAGGCATGTTCCTGAGTTGTTGCTGATTATCAGGCTAACTTTTGTGTTGAGCCCTGATCTCTCTCTTTTTTTTTTTTAGTTTATTTCATATTATTGTCTAGTTATTTACCATTCCATGGATTCTTTACAAGGTTGTATTATATTCAGGTGACCGTTAAGACCCCTAGGCCTCTTGTTTCAGTCAATACGATGATCTAGCAATCCTCGAAGTACCATATTCACCTCGCCCTTCTGACTCGGTGAATATTGCAGTCCTTGGGTAGCTTATACATCGTATTGACCTCAGGAACAGCAATAATTGTATATAAGCAGTATACAGATTGGTATATACCTTGCATGTAACTGAATGTCTTCATTTAAAAATCATTTTACAGGAAGAGCAAAACCTTGAAAAGGGTATGTACCACGAATTGAAAAATGCAGTGGAGGCACATGCTCAACACCTTACAGACAATGAAATAAAGTGCATTATCGCTAATATTGTTGGAGCAGGTATTGTTCAGGAATTTAGCTATTATATTTTAGAAGTGATGGATTACAGTATATACATATACATTTTCGTCCACTTTTAGGTCACCTGAGTCTCTCAAATGACCTATCCGTTTTTGTTGTTGGGCGCGCGTCGTCCGTCAACATTAAACATTTTTAGCTTCTCAGGAACCGGTGAATAAAGAACAACGCACGCTAACTCTCGATTCCCGCCTACATTTTACACCCACTTCATTCAATACGTATAAATGGCAGTTTGGCCAATAAAATGTTCATTATCAATTGATTAATAATTTTTTACCAGTGTCAAAAACTTAAATGCCCCCTTTTAAGACTCTTTTCTCTAGGGGGGTGGGGGGTGGGGTAAACATCTTATCCATTATCCACAATATTTCCGTATATTTAATTTAAGTAAGATTGATGATTTTATTTTATTTGTAATCTGATTTGAGAATGGTAATAAATTGACCATTATTGGAGGGTTTTTTTGTCTATTAACATATCCCCCCTCCCCGTGAAACAAAAAAAAAGCTTTGGTATGAATTTGAAAAATAACAATTCATAACACCTATAAAAAGGAATTTTTGTTTCACGCGGGGGGGGGGGGGGGGGGGAGATGTTAAAATAATGTTTTCCGTTGAATTCAATAGTGAAAAACGCAATTTTTACCAAAATTATACAGTTTTATCTCTTATCTCTCATGGTCAGGGGTTCAGGTGTTAGGGTGGGGCTAGCGCTCTATTTATTATATATGTCGCCCGCGTGGCGCACTGGTTAGAGCATCTGCTCTAGAGTCGCGAAGTAAGGAGTTGATCCTTACGTCGGGGGTTCGAATCCCACTGTGGGACGTGGAGACGGCCCTTCGGATGAGACCGTATAAACCGAGGTCCCGTGTCGCAGTAGGTGCTGGCACGTAAAAGATCCCTCACTGCTCAATGGCCGTAAGTGCTGAGTATAGGACAAAATTTGCAGCTCTCCACCGGCAAGTGGTGGCGTCTCCATATGAGTGAAAAATTCTCGAGAGGGACGTTAAACAACATACAAACAAACAAACAAAAACTATTTATTATATAGTGAAAACGCATTATTTTCTTTATAAATCTCCTTCTCTGCTCCTGGCTGCTTCTTCCATTGATGATAAAGTAAAATGCATTATTTCTGTAGTCTTTGGAGTCCAGGTCTTCCAACAAACTATTGGAATTCTGCGATGGGTACTGACCATTATACTGATTTATGCTGATTTATTTGCCGACCATTTTTTTTATTCCTATGAAGCGAAAAATATTCAAAAACTTTTACATGAGAAGAAATCACTTGTATTAACATTGGGTCGTATTTTGGCTGACTTGTTTCATACCAATTGTTAGGCCTTTGTTTTTTCCACTTAAGTTGACTACGGAATGTTCAGTCTACCTGATCAATTCATCGGGCTCACGCTGGGTGTGACCGGTCAACAGGGGATACTTACTCCTGATCCCGCCTCTGGAATTTCCAGGGGTTTGGTTTGTGTTTTATGCCCTCTTCAAACAACTGTATTGTTTATAGAGTTTTTGAGATCAATCACTTCGTAATCCTCACCTTTTTCATTGAAAACCTTTTTAAGCAATCAAACTAAGTGCATGATTCTTTAAAAATCTTTTTATCTGTCCTTGGGCATTTAACAATCATACACAGTGCATGGTTATGATCTTGAAATCCATGGCCCCTGGGTCAGGAATTCTGGTGTTAGGGTTGATTGTATAGTAAAAATTATTTTTTTTTTTTAAACAAATCTTCCTCTCTGTCTCGGTTTTTTTTTTTTTAGACAATCTAATTGCATATTAATAATTTGCAAGGACGCCTCCTCCAAAAATATGAAAGTCATGGCCTCTGGGTTAGAGGTTCTGGAGGTGGGCGGGGCTTTATTGATTACAATGTATACAGTGAAAATGCATTAGTGTGTTAGCACTGTCAAATACAAGCATAAATAGATCTGCTTAATGATTTGTTACTAAGTACAAGATTAAAGGGTTTTTATCTCGTCTCAAAATTTTTTGATATGACAAAGTTTACATGCTATTAAAACCATATATTTAAAAATCTTTGCTAGAGAATTAATATTTTTGATGTTTCAGCATAAATAGATCTGCTTAATGATTTGTTACTAAGTACAAGATTAAAGGGTTTTTATCACGTCTCAAAATTTTTTGATATGACAAAGTTTACATGCTATTAAAACCATATATTTAAAAATCTTTGCTAGAGAATTAATATTTTTGATGTTTCAGCGATTCAAAGTTTGAATTTCTCAATATGCATATTTTGATCGCCGATGTTACGCGCCATTGCTCTGACGTCATAGGTGTCAATCCTGGTCAAGCGAAGTACTTATTGTGTATACAAAAGGGCTCATTTGTTGTGTCTATTAAACCTGTTAGAAAATAATTAAGTGATAATTGGAAGCCTTAGGATGCACAAATGTGCACAAGAAAGGTTTTAAGAAGAAATTTTTTCCACATTTCCTGGACTTGGTCGAGAGATGAAAGGGGGGCCTTTTTCTGCAAAAGCGATGGCGTTTATTTCCATTCAGAACAATCGTCTATGCCCGATGGATCATGAATTTTTTCTGTCCTATAAAATAGTTTAAGGAAAGATACCTTTTAGAAAAAAAATAAATGACAAACACGCATTTTTTAAAAGTCGCACAGAATCTAGTAGGAATGTTGTGAACTTCGTAATGGCGTACGGCGCCATTGATTGAAGAAGTGTCATTTCTAGTACATGATATTCACTGTTGGAACAGATAAAAGATATACAGGATTTATTTATATATAATTAATTGATATAATAATGAAGGAGAATTTAAAATTCTCATATTCATAAATGTTTACGAAGTTAACCTTTAGTAATTCGTTCAATTTAGTCGAAATCCCGAGTTGTCAACGGCTTCGTCTTCGGTGACCTCTCCAATTGTCGGCATATTTTCTGGTAATTTCTTTCTGCTAGACGTTCATACATAAAGGATTGACCGTTCATAACCAAAGGAATATAGTCGATGTCAAAATTTCAACCGGCCATATTATGTATTCTTATTTATTTAGCGTAAAATTTATTCAATATATTTTTTCTTACGATAAGCTTTACGAGTTCTATTGACCATGGACACCTATGACGTTTCAGTACCACGTGACCCCTATCTCATTAGTGGAGCTTTTTACTTCGAGGACCCTATATTACGGGCGTTTTATCGTCTAATTACTGCCGTTTTCAACATCATTTCATAATTAAACGATAATTATGTTTCAAGAATATAATAGTGTTCATTTTTTAAAAAAAAAAATTAGATACGTGATAAAAACCCTTTAACTATTTTACTAAGTCCTGATCATCATATTTCTTTAGATTTTAGGCACAATATGTTCTTTTAGTTCTTGTATTATTTCATACTTCTATTGATCCTTTGCTAATTATATACAGGTGACCGTAAGAGAGATATGCTAAAATGTTACAGGTTTTCTAACAACCAGAGGCACCTTACTGTCGCTTATTCACCTTTTGGTGGATTATCCGGAGATCCAGAATAAAATACAAAATGAAATTGATGACATAATTGGCGAAAGAGAGGCGCACATCAACGACCGATCTTCATGTCCCTTCACAGAGGCAGTGATCCTAGAAACACTACGTTACATATCCCACGCCCCTTTGGCTATCCCTCATTACACACTTGAGGACTGTACCATCAGGGGCCATTTGGTTCCAAAAGGAACACGAGTAAGAGATTCTTTTTATACGGGATTCACTGGTTTTTTACATGGCTTTATTAAGATGTTTTTCTGTCCTTGTCAATTTTGATTTCTGTAGAGAGTAAAATATTGAAATAGTAGGGGCCTCTTCAGATGGTGTTTTTAAGGTCTGGAAATTCGCGTTGGCAGTCCAGGCTTTCAAATGTCAATACAGCAGAAGACGTGCTTCCCGTTCTTATTTATTTATATATTTTTGGCAAGTTTCTTAATTTCAAGTGTGAAATCACTTTGTATATTTATTTTTGTGTCCCTTCCGAATATACAACTGATAAAAGTTTGAGCTTTAAGGAGTCAACTTTTTCCCTGCATGTGTATGTAACTTGTTTCCTTATGACTGTCTCCCGCTTTTGCAACATCGTGGCGACATTAAATATTCACCCGTCCGTCCTCCTGTCTGTCACGAAAACTACGTAAAAAACAAAACTTTTAGATTTAACATGTGCATTACCTGTGACAAGAATTTTCCAAATGCGTTTATTTTTTCACTTCAACACTTTGAAAATCCACCTGCATTTCAAAAAGAAAACGGTTCTCTGAATTTGCTTTCACCAACTTTATTGCCGATACTAATCACCTGAACTTAATTCAGCATTTTACACCAACATATAAAACTTGAATTGCATTTAATATCAAACAAATTCAGATTATACAGCTAAAACAAAATCATTTTCCCTGCGTACATATATACATGTAATATATACTTAACCAATAATAAAATATTATTCTCTTGAAACTGCTTAATCACATTATTTGCAATACATAGGCATTATCTTGTATTTTCTCTGCAAATAAAAAAAAAGTCGATGCCCACTCGTACATATAGTAAATATAGAAATTACTATATTGCAGCATTACGCGGAATTTATGTTATTACTTCCACTTTGTAATTCGACTTTTTGCAAATGAAACCTTTTTTCCAAACATCTATCTTTATAATGGAGAACTTTTTTTAGAAATTAAAAAAAATATATTTTCAATTTATAATGGTACATTGTCGTTATCATTTAACATTGTATGAATGATTACAGATACTTACAAATTTGTGGACTGTTCATCATAGCGATGAATGGGATGATCCATTCGTCTTCAGACCTGCGCGGTTCCTTGACGATTCTGGATTACTTTTACCAGCAACACACCCAACTAGAAAAAGGTTTATATATATATATATATATATATCTATATCTATATCTATCTATATATATATATTCCAATTCAATTTAAAAGTAAATCATTCTACATAGTATTTTAGTAACTACGTTTCATTTACTTGTTACTTAAGGCTGTTGGTTTTTGGGTTTGGCAAACGGTCATGCGTGGGGGAAGTGTTCGCCAAAAACCGCACATTCCTGTTCCTAGCAACACTGATGCAGACTTGTACTGTGACAAAGTCGTCTGGTCAATCTACAAGTAACCTTGACCCCCGAACAATGATGCCTGGCATCGTACTCCAGCCTCAGCATTACCAAGTACAATTCAAAGCACGAGAAATTTCATGCAATCAATGAGCGTGCCCGGGCACATGTAAAAAGCATCGATGTAGACAATGAGAAATTTTTGAACGTCAATAAATGAATGTTGAATACATGGTACATGTATGTCTAATTAGGGCCAAGTAAATGACATTTTTCCATAAACATATAACAATGAAATTTAATCAGAAAGCGTCGCTTCGAGTATATGGCATCTCAAACGTTGCAATATTCGATCTTTTCCATTTGTATTGTATAATTTTCCATTTGTATTGTATAATTTTTATTTGTATTCTATAATTTTCCATTTGGATTCTATAATTTATCATTTGGATTGTATAATGTTTATTTGTATTCTATATTTTCCATTTGAATTTTATTTTAAAAAAAATTTGTATTGTATAATTTTTCATTTATATTCTATATTTTCCATTTGCATTGTATAATTTCTTATTTGTATTGCAAAATTTCTTATTTGTATGCGATAATTTTTCACTTGTAAAAAAAGAGAGATGCAAATCCCAAAATAGTATTGATTGTATGTTGTTTTCCGTCCCATTCGAGAATTTTTCACTCATATATAGACGTCACCATATACCGGTGAAGGGCTTCAAATTTAGACCTTTACTCGGACCCGCCACTTTCACTTCAAAGTGCCGAACGCCTGGCGAAGGAACAATTGCTACCTATTTTTTATCGACTTAGGTCAGTCGCGGCCGAGATTCGAACTCGCGGCCTTCCAATCACGGATCGAGCGCTCTACTCACTGAGCTACGGTCTCAAAAGAGTAAATTTCGTTTCAAATATTTTTATTTGCTGATTTTAATTTTTGTGTTTAATTTCATATCCTCAAAACCAATCCTTCCGCGGACGCAACATGAAATTAAAAATACGAGGTGTATATGAAAATAATATTTAGTGTCATACTTATTAAATTCTTATTAGAAAACATAACGAAACACTGCCGAAGTCAGAATATCACACAGTTATCTGTGCTTGTAAGAAAAGAATACGTCCATTAGCAAGAGTTATCTTTCTTATAAATATTTTTTCAATGGAAAAAATGTAATACTAATAAATATTATTCATATTGTACTTGATACATGATAGCATTTCTAAAAATGGCCCATTAAAAGATAAACTAATTCAATCTGTAGGGATTTGAAAATTGGATTTAAACAATTTTTTTATCAAATATAATAAAACAGGCAAAAGGAAATATAAGTCAGGTTTGATAAAATTGATTAATGGGGTCTCGGTAATTAATATCTGGTGAAGTATCGCCAGTGGTTAGAGCGTTCGCTCTAGAGTCGCGGAGTAAGGAGTTGATCCTTACGTCGCGGGTTCGAATCCCACTGTGGGACGTGGAGACCGGTCCTTCGGATGATACCGTATAAACCGAGGTCCCATGTCGCAGTAGGTGCTGGCACGAAAAAGATCCCTCACTGCTCAATGGCCCTAAGTGGCGAGTATAGGTCAAAACTTGTTGCCACTGGCAAGTGCTGGCGGCTCCATATGAGTGGAAAATTCTCGAGAGGGACGTTAAACAATAAACAAACAAAAACAAATCTGGTGAAGTAAATATGAGTAGCATCATGATTTTTACTTGGCAAGTTCTCTCTGTTATCAGAGGGTCAGTCCCCCTAAAAAATAAATTGAAGGAAGTCATGGAAACATGAATTTTTAGTGCCTTATAACCGAAATTCTCTATATCCATTAAAGAAAGTGTTATGATAAGTGGGATGGAAAAAAGATAGAACCGAGATTTCCTTATATTCAAGTTCCATATAAACGAGTTTTTTAAATATCAAACTTAGGTGTTGTTTGAGATCTACAATTTTTTTGCTTTTTCTTTAAAGTTTTTATAAACTGCTTAATTTAAAGTATGTAATTTTTGCTGGTTTTTTGACGTTCTGACAAAAATATACAATTTTGTAATGATGACATTTACTCCTCTTTTTCAATGTCTGACATCTTGAAAAGGTGCAGCGGTGACCTATACAATAAATAATATTAATATATATCAGAGGGAAACTAATGTTGTTTTCTCATTTTGAATCAATAAATATGTGTGTTGGGAAAACCCTTAAGTGTAGTTGTGTAAATTATGTAAGATAATTTCCCTCGTTATGTATCAATCTCTTTGTACCGGATGGTCGATAGGTCACTATCTGATGTATTCTGGATTCCCCCCTCTTTATTTAAACAAATAATTCCTTTCTTTCTTTGTTAGTGCTGAATGAAACGATTGTCACATTTCAGAAAAAAATACAAAACTATGTAATACGTAACGAGGAAAACGAGTTATGTAAGAATCGATACGTTAAATCCTGCATTAACACAGAAAGAAAGTCATATATATCTGTATAAATTATTTGTAAAAATTGGGTTAAAGTATATAAAATATTGTATGATACAATTCATCATAGAGTATATTAATTTAATGGAAGAGCTCTCTTCTTAAGACATATTTCAAACAGATGGTTATTTTAAAAAAAATCTGTGTCTAAGTGGAATGATAACGGTAATTCGTTTTTATAAGAAATTAAGGAGAAAATATTCAGTACACGTAAATATTCCCAAGTAAATATTTTTAAGTACTTTATCTTCTCATATATAAATTTTACAAATCCTACAACGTGTTTTCAGGTTACCTATGGACTCATAAAGTTATCAAAATATCTATGTTATGATATACAAGAACACACTGTAGTTACATGTATAGTCTTGCTAATTGAAAAATCACATCTGCTGGAATTTTGTACACAAGGCGATACCTTACCACCAATCGAAACTTCTCGGGCCTTTCGACAAGCGGAAAAACAACTTCGAATGTGTTTCGTAGGCGTCCATGACAACCCCCCCTTTTTATAGCGAGCGCAGCGAGCTGCGCGAAGCGCCGCTCGTCACTGCGAGCTCTAACGACAACGCCTGGGCGAAGAGAAAATTGGGACTAATTCACATTCATTCAATAGAATTTTTTTCCGCAGTAATTCTGGACCCACAATGCATCACTTCTTGTTCTCGCTGCTAACTTCGTTCGCGCGGAAACAACAACTAAAAATTCACACAAAATAAACTCACCTTATTGATTTAATGGATATTGCATACAGATAGTAGATTAATCGTTCTTTGTTAAAATCAGTGCACTTTTTAAACTTTGTTTATGGAAATGCAGCTAACATACGAGGTCATGTGACGTCACAGTCTAGACGTTCCAAATGTGTCGTGCGGTTTGAAGAGGCGGATCTTAAAGGTGCATAGACACAGATTTGAAGCTTATATTTTCTCAAATTTTCTGTATAATATCATAACTTATAGGTTGCTATAGCATTTCACACGAAAATAAAATTAAAAACTTATTTAATCTGAAAATTATTGAAACTACGAATTTCGGGAGGCGTTTGATTAATTTAACAAATTGAATACACCCGTGAAACGTAAACTGTTTTTGTAAACAGGACACGAGCTCTGTTGTTGTTAATGTTTACGTTTATTTCATCGGGTGTGTTCAATTGTTAAACTCTGCACACACCACTGAGCACGGACTGACAATACTGGTGAGAGGATTTTGCTTTCTACATTTCTACTCTGTTGTGTTAATCAAACGCGTCCACAAATTCGAAGTTTCAATAATTTTCAGATAAAATAAGATTTTTATCAAATTTTCGTATGAAATGATATAGCAACATTAAAGTCATGAAAATTATACAGAAAGTTTGAGTAAATATTAACTTCAAATCTGTGTCTAAGCTCCTTTAACGAATGAAGTGAACAATGCGCTCGCCCGAAGGGTCGCACCGTCAACATATTAAACTTTGAAATAAATGACCTCTTATCTGTAGAGTTTGGAGCTCAACTTTATTGAATGTAAAGATATTACCTAAAATATAACACAGGAGTGATTTTTAACTCTGTATTTCCAATGTTTTAATAAAAAGGAAGCGACTCCATATTGTATAAATTTTTAACATCCGGTGATGTTAATACATTCGAGGTTGTATTTCCGTCCTCTGACGGAAAGGCCGCCCGAGATGATGCGATTGACCATACATTTCGAATTAATTTAAAGCATACTCCATGATAATAAGTTACATATTTTTACATGTTTGTCTCAGCGGTGGGATAACAGACAAATATTAGCGAAAGAAAAACAAATGGGAGGGTATTTAAACCCTCGTAGCCTTACGGCTAATTCGGAAAATCCTAAAGGATGCTCAAATAAGGGTTCCATTTTCTTTCATTGAGCCTCCAGGCTTACTTTGCATTCAAGGAATATTTAAAGCCGTAAAGACAATAACTCCAAAAAATGAACTAAAGAAAATCAAAGAATAACTAATTCCACAGCTTAGGTAAAGAGATATTCAATTTAATAATAAGATAATTAAATTAATAATGAAATTACAAAAAAATATCAATTATACTTATGATGTACATCATTAAAAATTTAAATAATACATGCATATTCAAAACGCATAGCTCCATAAAGTTCACTTATTCATGTTCATCAAAACAAAAAAATCAGTACACAATGGTTCTCCAAATATTTAACAAGTACCAGTGTCACAGAAAGGATCCAACTATGATTAACAAGAGGCCCATGGGCCACATCGCTCACCTGAGCACATTGGCTAGGCAAAAGCACAAATCAGTTCAGTATTGAAAAGATTACTGGGGGGGGGGGGGGGGCTTGAATTTTAAACTACCTGATGCTTCCATGTCAATATAACAATTGGCTTTGTTGTACTTGAGAAGACTTTTAAAAAAATTCCCATATATTCCTTTGTAAAATTTGATCCCCCATTGTGGCTCCTCCCTATCCCAGGGGTCATGATTTGAACAAACTTGAATCTACACTACCTGAGGATGCTTCCATATCAATATGACTAAACATAGCTTTGCTGTTCTTGAGAAGAATTTTTTTTTCTATATGTTCTTATATAAAACTTTCCATCCCCCATTGGGCCCCACCCTACCCCTGGGGGTCATCATTTGAACAAAATTGAATTTACACTACCTGAGGATGCTTCCATATAAAAATGACTAATCATGGTTTGCAGTTCTTAAGAAGACGATATTTTCCTTTATATTTCTATGTCAAACTTTGATCCTCCATTGTGGCCCCGCCCTACCCCCAGGGGTAATGGTTTGAACAAACTTGAATCTACACTACCTGAGGATGCTTCCATATAAATATGACTCATCATGGCTTTGCTGTTCTTGAGAAGAAGATTTTTAAAGATTTTTTCCTATATATTTCTATGTCAAACT